AAGGTTATCGGGTGTGCGAATTGCAGTACACGGTATGTTTTATCATTACCAGATAATTTTTTTTTCGAAAGTCAAGCTCTTTTTTCTTGAGGTGCCACTAGATACACCAACTGAGCTCGACACATCGCTCACTGTATGCAGTGGAGCTTTGTATGGGGAGCTAGCGATAAGAACAAAGGAATTCTGCTCAAAGAACATTTTCCGAGGTCAGTTCAGCTGAAATGATTGGTTAAAATAATTAGCGTTCAGTTGGTTAAGCATACCGTTATGCGTTAGTAAGCTTTCGACGGCTCCGTTTCCTTTCTTGAATTGTTGGTTTTTGCAGATGTAGAAAACTGCTCAAAGCCACGGGTACGCCAGGCGATGGCCATCGCACTGCAGCAGATGTGTCAGGTGAACGTTGCTAATTGAAGATTGATCCGAATGACTGAGCGTCGCGCACTTCCAACTCCATTCCAGACTGACTCGACCACGGTCTGGACAGAAGCGGAAAGCACGTGCCGATCAGCTCTAATGGCGGCATTGAGCGCTGAAACCCCTGTTGCTTGCGCTGCTCTGCGTGCTGCGGCACACATTCTTATCTGGTCTTGCTTCTTAACTGATTTCTGCGCTTTTCTAAGCTTTTCACTTCATTCCGCACACTCGAATGTTTTCTATTGAGTTTTGATTTTATGAAATTTGACATTCTTTTTCTCTTATTTTTTGTTAATTCTGATCGAGCGATTTTAGTCAAACCCCGGGCGTTGATCGAGATTTGTTAGCCGCTGTGGGACGTTCACTTAGCCACCAGTCCGTTGAAGTGCGGCGAGTTGCTGCGGCTGTACTTGGTCATGTGCTCCACTCCTCTACTGAGCAACTTGACAGCGAACTCCTGAAGGTGAAACCTTTTTTTTGAGTTCCATTAACCTTGTAAAAGAACATGAATTCCAGTTAATCGTCCCACACTTGGCGAATGGTGCAAAAGAGAGCAACTCAGCTGTTCGGTCAGCGTCTGAGCTCGCGTTGGTGTACGGATTCCACTTCGCTGACGGCCAGGAAGGATTCAACGTTTGTTTTGAACATTATCATTGTGTTTTCGAATCTGCAATTTTTTAAACGTCATACTTCTTGAGCTAACCGAGCATGTGAAAAAATTTCTTTTCCTTGGGGCAGCACTTTATTGACAGTCGTTTGACAGTTTCAGTGATGCTGATTGGTAAGAAACCCGATTAGAATGGGATTGAGATTTTGATAGTGACCTGACGATCATCTCTCAAGACAGGGGCTACCACCCCTTCTCCTGTTCGGAAAAAAATTCCATGAAAGCGGCTGATTATTTTTTGAGATAACGGTCGGAAATATTTGGAAGAGCCCACACATTTTGAACAAACTATCGAAAATACCCTGGTATGAAACATATCAGTATATGCCTCTACTAACGGGTTCGAGGTCCATTTATCATAGATAGGGAGCAATTCTAGAATCACCCGTGAGTTCTTCTCTGGCATGACAGTAGCTCATTATGAATTTTCAGAAATACCTACAATCCGTCGAAGGAGCAGCGAAAATGGTGCTTAATGAACTACAGCCAGCATTGCGCCGAGTCGTGAAAAACGCCGATATGGCACTCGAACCGATCAACACAATTTTATCTGTTAATTAATATAATTTATGTTGTTTGCCTTAATATTCGTCCTTGCGAAGATTGGCATTGTTGCGAAGTTTTTTGCATGTGATTGTTACGCTCCTATCGATTATGCATGGGTGTGGTTTTCCAGTGATTTTTTTGCCTTCTTCTCACAGAGACAGGATCTGTTCCGTGTTTTACTGTCTCGTGTGTTTGGAATGCAA